CCAAATAAAGTTACCACTCAAATCCTTTGCGAACAATAAGTTTATTTTCAAGATTTTAATTTCAGACCAACAATACAATATGCATAAGTAACTAAAAATAAAAAAAGACTGCTTTTTCTGCGTATCTAAGGTTTTTAGATCTTCAAACCAAGCTTTCGGCCTAAGCAGAAGAAGCAGTCTTCATTTATAAACAAATGCCTGCATCAAAGAAATTCTGAACTTCAAAATAATTTGCAGATTAAGAAGTTCCATACCAAGTATGATGCCGCTCAAAACATTCAATACAAGCAGCTATTGCCATGTAAGACTAACTTTTACAATGGTATATAATGGTACAGTTAGTGCGAAATAATGTAAATGGATCCCTTTTAATCGATAAAGCAACTGCAACAATGCAATGCGGTATTTGAATCCCAGCATACACTATCTCCAGTACTCAGTTTTCTGAAATAGCTGCTTGTATTGAATGTTTTCAGCGGCATCATACTTGGGATGCTACTTCTTAATCTGCAAATTATTTTAAAGTTACTTATGCATATTGTATTGTTGGYCTGTAATAAAAAAATTGAAAATAAACTTATTTTTTGCAAAGGATTTGTAAATTATTTGGGAGTGATTCCATCAAAGCTCAATATATATTTTCCCAGCTCTCAACACATAAAAGCACTTTGTCAAAGTAACTAATATACCGGGAGGTAGAGTGCAAATAATATACCCGTGAAATAGATAGTGACAAATAGGGAATAGCTAGTGCTTACTTAGACAAGACACAGGAATTCAGTGACGCATGACATGGGTCATGGTTTTTCAAAGCATAATTCGTTGGTAAATGTGTTCGTTTGTTGTACTTTAGACTTTTGAGACGCGTTTTCAATGGCTTTATATTGTTATATCATAGTCATTTTCTTGAACTGTTAGATTACCTGCCAGGGTTTGTTTTTCTTTTAGTCTCAATGTGGATATGTAAAAAATAGCTTTTGTCTTCACAGTCAAACCAGAAGGGTGTTTGAGTACTCATGGATAAAATCATGTGCTAAAAATAGTATGGTTATCCTACTGAGCAACACGTAGCAAAAATTGTTTTTCTTGCTTTTCCAGATGAGCTAGTAGCAAACCAAGTATGACGCCGCTAAAAACA